TTCTTCAGACAGTTTGCAATTTTCGCACCTATGGTCGGGACCATGCTCAAAAAGGAAGGGGATAGTCTGAAGTGTGATTTCATCACACAATGGTATACAAAGGTGGATCTAGGCTTGGCACAGAGAGATTCAGCCACCATGCGGCTATATGCCGCGCACATCCAGGTACGTCCAAAAAGTATCAACAGGATGTCATCCTCCGCCCTGCGCATTTCAACATGTCCACAGGGACTTTGTTGAAACTCACACCATGCTCAAGGTAAGTAATTACTGTTGGGTTGGCGGATCTCTGGGTTAAATGGACTGATAGTATTGGCGGACGCCGGAGACAAGCAGGGTGGTGAGTCATTTGTAGCAAAAGTCATGCAGGACGTGGGTGGAATTTCTGGGCATTGATATACGTAAAACAGCAGTTAGCGCCCTGGCCGGCAGGCGCGGCGTGCTGACGCGAGGAGGAATGGCACTCAAGCTCTGCCGCTGTAGACCATGTGGGCGCGGGAGCCGAATAAACAGAGATTGCCAAGACTTTTGTTGATGGACGACTTGTGTCTTTGTAAGTTATTAATGCACTTTGGTCCTTATTTCTGCCCAGGTAGTGGCGCCCTGCCACAGGTGCGCAGTCGGCTTGCACAGTTAAGCAGGCGATGCGTCCTGGGTGTAGGTAAGAGCGACAAAGCATTGTCGGTCAAGCGCTGGTCGGTCAATTCTGCCCTTTGGTGAGGAACTGGTTAAAGGTGCGGGTGGAGGACCTTGGATCCACGCCAAAATGTCGTGCGGTGCTGCATGAGGGGCCTAGCAGGACAGAGGGCGCGGCGGACAGGCCCCATCGCTCGGCTCCCTACGCTGAATAGGGTCTGGGAGTGAGGCGAACCACTCGGTGATGAGGCAAATACAAACCAGAGATTCCATGTTCCGAGGCGGACCCCCTTTGCCAATCAGCGGACCCAGTCTGGAGCCATGAAGGCCTGAGGCTTGCTCAAGCCGCAGAAGTATGCAGAGCTTGATCATATCCAAAAAGATTTTCATGGAAGGCTGCTCTCTGCCATAATGAGATGGAGTCTGCTGGAGTGCTGGTGGTTGATCTTGGTCATTGTGTTGTGTCCGGAGGAGGTGGGAGAGTAGGGTGGTTACAGTTTGAATATTGGAGGACATGGTTGACGGAGTGTATGAGGTTCATCAACTGAGCTTTGGGACTGGCCGATCTGGATGCGTGCTCAAGATGGTCTACCACACAAACGAGCCCTTGCCCAACGCCCAACAGACTCTCCTGCTTCGGCAAGGGAAAACTCTTCAGATTCAGATGATTCATTCAGATTCATTTATTTCGCCATTTGCAGTAACACTACATTGGAATACATTTGTAAAAGTTCCCAGTGTGCACAGGACAAGTACAGACACAAAACAACATTAAAAGACAAAAATAAAACAAATTTTAAAAACAGTAAACAAATGTCACCGTGAAGTTGACCAACTTAAAACAGATCTATACGAGTGCAAAAACATTAAAGTGCTCTATTCAAACTGATAACAGCTCGTGGAAAAAAACTATTAGCATAACGAGATGTCCTGCATCTCAGAGAACAGTATCTTCTGCCAGAGGGAAGAAGCTGGAACAAGGCTTTTCCTGGGTGGCCAGAAGAGTCTTTGATAATTCTCAGGGCACTGTTAAAAAGTCTGGATTGATAAAGAGTCTCCAGGACAGGAAGTTCACAGCCTACAGTCCTCTTTGCAGAGCGGAGCACCTTGTTTAGAGCTCTCTTTTCTTTATCTGTGATGTTACCGAACCACACAGACACAGAACCAACAAGTAAACTCTCAATGGTGCAGCGATAAAAGTTCAGCAGAATCTTAGAGTTAGTGGTAAATTCTCTAAGTTTCCGCAGGAAGTAGAGACGCTGACGAGCTTTCTTTACGACCCGGTCAGTGTTTTTAACCCATTTCAGGTCATTAGACAGAGTTAGACCCAGAAACTTACACTCCTCTACAATCTGCACTTGGGAGTTATTGATTGCGACAGGCAAATGAGAACTATTGCGACTAAAATCAAAGACCAGTTGACATGTTTTGGATGCGTTCAGCTGGAGGTTGTTAGCCTTACTCCACTGAACCACGTTTTGGATCTCGGCTCTATAAGACGATTCATCGTTATTACTGATGAGACCGATGATGGTGGTGTCATCAGCATATTTAAGGATCAGGTTAGAGTCTGAGGAAGACACACAATCATGAGTGTACAGTGTAAAAAGTAAAGGACTCAAAATACATCCCTGAGGAGATCCAGTGCTCACAGAAACAACATCTGAAAAACAGTCTTTGATTTTCACTCTCTGAGATCTGTCTGTTAAAAAGCTATAGATCCATTTACACATGGCAACACTTAAGCCGAGAGACATGAGTTTTTAAAATCAGTTTACCTGGGACAGGGCAGTTAAAAGCAGAGCTATAATCAATGAAAAGCATTCTTGCAACAGATTTCCTATTGTCCAAGTGACTGTAGACAGAGTTCAGAGCAAAGGAGATGGCCTCCTCCACACTCCTATTCTGTCTGTAAGCAAACTGGAGCGGGTCAACACTCACAGGGATCTGTAACCATAACCATACCTTATTCCGCTGGTTGAACTACAGCCTGGTTTTGCTTCATCACAACCATTGATTCCACTGGCCCAGGCGTCACTCCCTAAAATAAATAAATGAGAAGCAATTAAAACATAGACAGCACGAAATAACAGATGTTTCATTATGATAAAACAACCGACCATGGTCCGGGGTTTGTGCCATTTTAGTTCAGGTTCGGTGCACGAGAGGACAGGTGTATTACTTCTACTCCTACTCAGGACACTGGTTTATTGTCAGAATAGTTGAAGGAAAATCAGTCATAGAAGCAAACAGTGACTGTTTTTTTTTTTTTTTATGCTTCAAATTTTGTATGTACCGTCTCTGTGGCGCAATCGGTTAGCGCGTTCGGCTGTTAACCGAAAGGTTGGTGGTTCGAGTCCACCCAGGGACGCAGCTTTAGCTTCACTGGTGCTTATTCTGTGGATTCAGGTGCAGCTAGCTTGACTTACGACAACAAACCTTTGAGCTATTTTTGGAAAATGTGTGAACTTCGTATCTTTGGTTAAGTAGCACTGCAATGGCCCAGCTGTTGACAGGTTAGCTTTGCTTCTAAGTGAATTCATAATTGGAGGTTAGCCGCACATCTATATTCAGTTTATTATCAGATGAACATTGGGAGTTGTACCAATTTTGTTTATCCTCATATTCTTTGCTAATGGCCCTTTTCTCAAGTTAATTTTTGTAACTAGTCTGTACTTTTAGAACTGGCTACTTCTAGTATTTGGAGTCCCTACTATTTAATATTGTCTTATTGTAATTATATAAAAAGATAACCTGCATAATTCTAAAGTAAATGTGATCTAATTCCACTACAACACTAATGTCATATGGTGCTGTTATACAGAAGCTGGTTCTCACTTTGTTCTGCTGTGCTAGAGCGCCCCCTGGTGACGGAGACGAGGAAGTTCAGGACAGCTGTGTGATGTCACTGTTTATGTCCAAATACACTGTACTTTTAATAAAAACTTTTAATAAACTGCTCTAAGAAACTACGTAGAAATATACATAATCTTGTTTCTCTCTCAGTGTCGGTCTTTATGACACTAAATACAGTTGAAAAGTGTCATAGCAGTTAAATGTCCGCTCACTCATACGCACATCCAGTGTCGACACGTTCGCACGCTGGTGTCATGAAGTTCAATAAAACACAACATTACAGTGATATGTCCGTCATATTGATGTATGTATTTATTTATTTAATTGTTGATGGTAATTTAGCCTATTTTTTTATTCATTTTGAAATGAAATGTGCCAACGCTTTATCAAATACATTGGAAATCCTGCCGTGTATTAGTGACCCATCCTATTTATTTGGGGCATTTCTTAATCCACGGACCACAGAACAATAGCATAAATACTGCTGCTGCAGGAGGCTGCGGGGTCTCTCCCATGGATCTATACGGGTCTGCACTGGTCTCTCCCATGGATCTATACGGGTCTGCACTGGTCTCTCCCATGGATCTATACGGGTCTGCACTGGTCTCTCCCATGGATCTATACGGGTCTGCGCTGGTCTCTCCCATGGATCTATACGGGTCTGCGCTGGTCTCTCCCATGGATCTATACGGGTCTGCACTGGTCTCTCCCATGGATCTATACGGGTCTGCACTGGTCTCTCCCATGGATCTATACGGGTCTGCACTGGTCTCTCCCATGGATCTATAAGGGTCTGCACTGGTCTCTCCCATGGATCTATACGGGTCTGCCCTCTCTGCCCTCTCTGCGAGGTCACCCCCAGAGGAACTGGAAGGTAACGCTCTGACCCTCACACACTGGACTCTTTATTTTGACTTAATGTTCAGGAGCTGCAGGACACTGGTTTATTGTCAGAACAGATAAAGGTGAATGAGTGAGGTCTCTCTCCCCTCTCTCCCTCCTCTCTCTCCCTCACCTCAACCCTGAAGTAAAACGGATTCAATTAAATATTCCAATACTTTGTTCCTCTGTATTCATTTAATTGTCTGCGCAGAATATCGCGATACTGAACAGAATCGTCTTTTTTCCCAGCACTATATTCATTATAGAAACAACTTCCAAACAGAGGGTTTCCATGGTAACACACTGCCTTGTGTTTCCACCTGGATTCATTCCATAGAATCCCGTTACCATGGAAACTGGAATGTTCTACGTGTCATCGATAGATTTCACAAAAAGTTGTCTAGCAGTGTCCGGCAGACAGCAGATTTACTCAATAGGATCATAAACCACAGAAAGCATTTAGTTTAATCTTCATTATGGCAGGAAGCAATAACAAGGACAGGTCTCTCTATAGAGAGATGTTACAGGAGATAGAGGACGCCAAGACGGGGCCACAGACCCAGAGATTTTCAGAGAGATTTCAGTCGGGCCAGATTTACTCCACTCAGAGGTCGCCAGATAAGGCCATGAGTGGAAGCAAGACAACTCTGGAGGATCTGCCCATTGTCATCGGAGAAGATATAAAGTGTCTTCTCAGATCCTTCTGGGACAAACTTCGAGCTCAGGACATCACTGAGCAGGAGGCCAAGGCCAAGATGGAGGACATGTTCATGGATCTGATCCGTGTGTCGGCCAATGAGGTCCTCAGGGCGCTGGTGACCGGGAAGTGCCTTTATGAGTGTTCCCCTGGTGAGGTGCAGGTGTCGCACACAGGAGTCAGAGCTTCTCTCAGCCCCATCTTCAGAACCTTCCTGAAAACCAAGTCCACAGATGAGTTCGTCGCCCTGGACCGAGTCATCAAACTCCTCAGTGCAGAAGTGACTAAGACGGTCAACTCTGTGCTGAAGGACAACTGTGGCTTTGAGAGTCTGCTGCTGGTGGAGCAGAAGGACTGCTCCACAGCACGGAGCACTCTGCACCACATCGCTGCTCAGGCTTCTATGTTCCTGCCCCACATGACCTTCTCCGACCAGTGGGACCGACTCATACAGGCCGAGATCTCCAAAGGTCTCACTGAGAGCCACCTGAAAACAGAGGTGCTGGAAGTGGAGACGTCCATCGAAGCGACTGAAGAGTCAGAACAGGAGAGAGCGAGGACAGAGGTCAGTGAGAGAAACCCTTCCCCGGGTCGAGCTCATGTCTCTGCAGAACCTCTGATGGAGCAGATGGAGGTGAAGCAGGAGGAGTGGGACATTCTTTCATTTGGAGAAGTCCTGATGCAGAGACACTCCCCTGGGGTCCCCCACGAGGAGACCGAGACCCGTGAGGCCGAGACCCGTGAGGCCGAGACCCGTGAGGCCGAGACCCGTGAGACCGAGACCCGTGAGGCCGAGACCCGTGAGGCCGAGACCCGTGAGGCCGAGACCCGTGAGGCCGAGACCCGTGAGGCCGAGACCAATGGGACCGAGACCCATGAGACCGAGACCCAAACCCATGAGACTGAGACCCATGAAACTGAGACTCATCAGACCGAGCAGACCTCGTCGTGTGAACCGCCACAGAACCAGGAACCAGCTCAGAGGTCTTTGACCAAACCAAAGAAGAAGAAGAAGAGAAAGCAGAGACCGGCCCAGGACCTGCAGAGTGGGCTTGAAGTTACCAAGACCCCGGTTGAAAGATTTTCCATGAGTGATTCAGAAAAGTCTCCCCGTGTTGCTCCTGCACAGGTGACTTCATCCATCAGCGAGCCTCAGCAGGTGAAAACCATCAGGTATAACTCTGATGCCCTGGTCCTGATCCCAGACCAGACCTCACAGACTGAGGAGGACCAGACCCCAATGAAGAGCATCTCCATGAGCGAGCGAGAAAGGTCTCCCATAAAGACCAGATACTCTCCCTCTGAAACCCCGCTCAGGCCTCTGCAGCTGGTCCCAGACCAGGTCCCAGACCAGGCCTCAGATCTCATCAGGAAGAACCATGAGGTCTCCTCTCAGTGGGAGACCAGTCAGATCCAGGATCTAGCGTGGGGGGTGTCCAGACATATTCTCCAGGACAAAGACCTGTCTCCGACACATCCTCTGGTGACAAAGCTGTCTCAGCGACTGGAGGAACAAATGTGGGAGTGGAGGATAAAGGAGAGTCCGGACTGCATCAAAAGAATCACTTGTGACGTTTACAAAGAGCTGTGCTCAGGAAACAAGAAGACATGGGTCCACTTTGCTGCTTTGATCCAAGAAGGTTTCAGCGACTGCATCATCTCAGAGATCCACAACCGCCTGGTTGGACCCAAGAAGAAGAGGAGCAGACTGAGCTCCTTCTTCCACTCAGTCCACCACGCGCTGTGTAGATACTGTTAAGACCCTCTCCCTTCTGTAGATACTGTTAAGACCCTCTCCCTTCTGTAGATACTGTTAAGACCCTCTCCCTTCTGTAGATACTGTTAAGACCCTCTCCCTTCTGTAGATACTGTTAAGACCCTCTCCCTTCTGTAGATACTGTTAAGACCCTCTCCCTTCTGTAGATACTGTTAAGACCCTCTCACTTCTGTAGATACTGTTAAGACCCTCTCACTTCTGTAGATACTGTTAAGACCCTCTCACTTCTGTAGATACTGTTAAGACCCTCTCCCTTCTGTAGATACTGTTAAGACCCTCTCCCTTCTGTAGATACTGTTAAGACCCTCTCCCTTCTGTAGATACTGTTAAGACCCTCTCCCTTCTGTAGATACTGTTAAGACCCTCTCCCTTCTGTAGATACTGTTAAGACCCTCTCCCTTCTGTAGATACTGTTAAGACCCTCTCACTTCTGTAGATACTGTTAAGACCCTCTCACTTCTGAATTGTTCAGAATTCATTTTGAGGCAAAAATTTCAATATTTTTGCAGCAGAAAAATGAACGTTCTGTAACTTCCTCTAAAACCTTAAACCAACTTTTCTTCTTCTCGGCGTCAAATGTTCTTGATTTGATGCAGAGAAAAAGACTAAGGTTTGAAGATGGTACAAACTTTGTTGATGTTTTTGAAAAGTTACTTTAAAAAAAGTCAACACTTTTCAGCCAAAGGTCATGAAGCGCTTTAAGGCTGCAGTAAAGTGCTGCACGTTACAGTAAAGTGCTGCACGTTACAGTAAAGTGCTGCACATTACAGTAAAGTGCTGCACATTACAGTAAAGTGCTGCACGTTACAGTAAAGTGCTGCACGTTACAGTAAAGTGCTGCACGTTGCAGTAAAGCGACGTACGTTTGAGACAGTTCTGATGAAGTGGAAACGGGTCAAACTGCAGAAGTTTATGGGCGACACGGTGGCTGAGTGGTTAGCACTCTCGCTTCTCAGCAAGAGGCTTCGAATCCCAGGCGGGTCAGGGCCTTTCTGAGTGGAGTTTGAATGTTCTCCCCGTGTCTGCGTTGGTTTCCTCCGGGTGCTCCGGTTTCCCCTACCACTAAAAACATGCACAATAGGTCAGGCATGAGCCTCCTGTAGGCGACTGCTCCATCTCTGTCCACAACAATTGTAAAGCGACAAAATAAATATTTCTTAATTACTTAAAAGAGTGTGAGGCTTAAGCTTTTATAAATAAAGACAAAATGATAATTCTACTGTTGGTAAAAAGACCATTTTGTCTGGACCAATCAGGGTCCTCCTCCTTTCAGCATCTGCGACGACGGCAAGAGAGAAGTTAGCTTCATTAGCTTTGTTAGCTTCATTAGCTTCGTTAGCTTCGTTGGCTTCATTAGCTTCATTAGCTTTGTTAGCTTCATTAGCTTCGTTAGCTTCGTTAGCTTCGTTAGCTTCATTAGCTTCATTAGCTTTGTTAGCTTCGTTAGCTTCAGACCAAAACTGTGGAAAACCTGCTTCAGCTTATTGTTGTAATGAGTTCAGCTTCAACTATTGTTGCTTCTATTGTTTCATAAGAAATCTATACATCGTAAAGTAGTAAGTAAAGAGTCTGTCTGTCTGACCACCAGGGGGCGCTCCAAGGAGGCAGTGGAACGCCTCAGGGTCATCCTACTGTCGGCCTGATCCCGGTCTCAAACCCTAGACTGTTCTCTGTGATGTTAGGCTTTGATCAGTGACATCAGCCTAAACCTTTTCAGTCATTATTTCAGGAAAAATTACTGTTGCATTTGTTATTTTCTGGTAGATTGGATTCCCAGTAAGATTTAGTAAAACTAATACATTTATTCTAAAGCAAAGTAAGTTATTTAGTTTCTCAATAAACATTTTCTTTTTACTTTGGAAAAACTGGGATCTTTCATAAAACTTAAATATACTTTCTTGCCCGTCATCGTCAGTAAAAGCAGTGCCTGAAATGGAGAAGAAAAACAGCTGAACTAAAACAAGTGTTAATGCTGAGGTTATTGACAGTAAATAACAGTAATTACGCAAAAATATATATATTTATAAATACATTTTACATCAAGGACCTCATGTCTCTGGTCTCCCTCTGGTCTTCCTCCCTCAGTCTCCCTCTGGTCTCCCTCCCTCAGTCTCCCTCTGGTCTCCCTCCCTCAGTCTCCCTCTGTATAATGTACCTTATAAAACATTAGTGTTAGCACAGAGCTGTGTGTCCTGAGCCACAGACTTCACAGAGATATGACATAAACTTTCATAAAAATGGCGCGAAATGGAAACAAAGAAGTTACTTTGAACAAGCTCAGTTTGAGGAGGAAGTGAAAAGAACTCGAGGGGTCCTTTAGCAACAGCATTTCTATCTGTGTCCACAAGATGGCAGCATTGGACCAGTGACAATCCATTCTAAACAATATAGTATTTTTTGTTGTTGTAAATAAGTGAAATAAAAGGGTTTTTCCCCGTTACGTTTTACTGTTGGGTTCAGGCACCAACTTTAAAATGGTGAATTACTATGGCAACGGCTGTCATTATAACCAGCATCCAGGACTGAGGCTGTAGACCCAGGACTGAGGCTGTAGACCCAGGACTGAGGCTGTAGACCTAGGACTGAGGCTGTAGACCCAGGACTGAGGCTGTAGACCCAGGACTGAGGCTGTAGACCCAGGACTGAGGCTGTAGACCCAGGACTGAGGCTGTAGACCCAGGACTGAGGCTGTAGACCCAGGACTGAGGCTGTAGACCCAGGACTGAGGCTGTAGACCTAGGACTGAGGCTGTAGACCCAGGACTGAGGCTGTAGACCCAGGACTGAGGCTGTAGACCCAGGACTGAGGCTGTAGACCCAGGACTGAGGCTGTAGACCTAGGACTGAGGCTGTAGACCCAGGACTGAGGCTGTAGACCTAGGACTGAAGAGGCTGTAGACCCAGGACTGAGGCTGCAGACCCAGGACTGAGGCTGTAGACCTAGGACTGAGGCTGTAGACCCAGGACTGAGGCTGCAGACCCAGGACTGAGGCTGTAGACCTAGGACTGAGGCTGTAGACCCAGGACTTAGGCTGTAGACCCAGGACTGATGCTGTAGAACTAGGACTGAGGCTGTAGACCCAGGACTGATGCTGTAGAACTAGGACTGAGGCTGTAGATCCAGGACTGAGGCTGTGGATCCAGGACTGAGGCTGTGGATCCAGGACTTAGGCTGTAGACCCAGGACTGAGGCTGTAGACCCAGGACTGAGGCTGTAGACCCAGGACTGAGGCTGTAGACCAGGGGTCGGCAAGTTGGCTTGGCTTCGGGCCAATATTTTTTTACGCCGATAGGTGGCGGGCCAACCGGTCAATTGATAAAAAAATAAAATGTATTCATGCATGGATATTCAATACTAGATAACCCCAAACTATACATATTTTTTTTCATTTAAAAATAAAATATTGTTTGAAACAATACTATCCCCGAGTCTGTCTGATTTTCGCGGGTTACACAGCACTAGCAAAAAAATAAAGTTAGCATCACAAACATGTCGCTTTCCAAAGGACAAAAAAGAAAAGTGGACAGTGAAAACAGGAGTTTCAGGGAGGAATGGAGACAAACATATGGTTTCATCCTACCTGGATATGTGAATGCCAAACCTCTCTGCCTCATCTGCAACGAGGTAATCTCCGTGTGCAAAGAGTACAATATTCGGCGACATCATGAAACGAAACATGGGTCATTCAGTGCGTCCTTCCCACTTCAGTCTGAGTCAAGGCGTCTCAAAATCGATGCTCTTTATGACGGTTATATCCGGAGCAGCAGGGTCCTAGTTCGAGGCCTGACCACACAGGAAAAGGTATCCAGTGCCTCGCTTAAAGCGTCCTGGATTTTGGCCCGTCATGGGAAGCCTTTCACTGACGCGGAGGTTATGAAGGATGTGATGGTGTCCGTGTTGCAGGAGCTGTCCACGGATAAAACTGCTGATGCACTGATCGCTTCTGTAAAACAGATGCCACTCTCCGCGCGCACTGCTGTACGGCGTATCGAAGCACTGTCCTCAGACATACATGGGAAAATAACGCGCGCTCTCCATAAGGCTGATCATTATTCCCTGGCTATTGACGAAAGCACAGACACGACGGACGTGGCACAAATGTGTGTTTATGTTCGATATTTTGATGACAAGTCAGTCTCATTCCAAGAGGAACTTCTTTTTCTCATCCCATTGGAAGGTCAAACTACTGGGGACATACTGTTTGCCAAACTCGAGGAGCAGTTTAGGGAGAATTCGTTACCCCTTGAGAAGGTTAATTTTATTGTGACAGACGGCGCTCCATCTATGGTTGGAAAGCGAAGAGGTTTGGTGAGAAGACTCAAGGAAGTTGCTCCTAATATTCAGGCACTCCATTGCCTTATCCACCAAAGTGTGCTGTGCGCAAAGCTGAGTGGAGAGCTTAAGACAGTCATGGACAAAGTCATGCGCATCATTAATTATATCCGAGGAACATCAAGCACCCAACACCGTATTTTCAGGCAACTAGTGACCGAGTCAGAAGAAGCAAGCCATGGTGATTTGCTGCTGCACAACGATGTGCGCTGGTTAAGCAAGGGGAGAGCGTTAGAACGCATGTGCGCACTTCTCACTGAGATTAAAACCTTTCTTCAAATGAAAAATAATGCAACTGCTGCGGAGCATCTTGCACAGCTTGAGGACAAAACATTCATGGCCAATGTTGCTTTTTTGACCGATATATTTGGCCACCTCAACCAGCTCAATCTGCAACTACAAGGGCGAGGGAAAATAATTGTGGACATGGTAGAGAAGTTGGAGTCGTTTATCAAGAAGCTAGAACTGTTTGAGACAGACATGACATCTAAACGACTCCTGCATTTTCCGACATTAAAAAGGCACGCGCCAAAACAAGTGACAGAAGCGATGGTGAATTTTGTCAGACATGTGCGGGAAGAATTCCTTTCGAGATTTGAGGAATACTCTTGCCCAAAAGAAATATTTGCGTTCGTGCGTGATCCATTAAG